GCCTGCTTCTCCCTCTGACCCTCCCCCCTCTCATGTGCTCTTCTCTCTCTCTCATTCTCTCTGTCTCAAATAAATAAATAAAATCTTTAAAAAAAAATTAAAAAAATAAAAAAAAAAAGAATATCAGCAATTATCTTCCTACAACAGTAGGTTCTGGTAAGACATGGATTTCACTGATTAGTCCCCCCAGCAATGATAGTCACAGGCAGCGTGTTACAGCCAAATGCGATGAGCAAGCTCCTCCCGGGGGGGTCCTTTCCTTTGGCTTCCCTGGAGTCTACACTAGCAGAGACTATGGTTCCTGAGATAAGGCACCGTCAAGACCAAGCTTTAAAAAGGCAGTGGCCCCAGAGTAGCACTGGGAACTGTGCATTTGGAGGAATGTTCTGAGAAGGCCACTATCTAGCCAATGACTGAAAGACAAATTCTCTAACAGGTTTACCTTATGTTGCTGGTAAAGTAATTTCTGCACACAGTCTTCCTGCATCAGCTGAAAAGCTGTTTTACACAACTGGTCCATGAGGAAGAGGATGGCTTGTTCTCGGTACCAAAGATGCTGGCTTATTAGAGCCTGAACCCAGAACTCCAACACGGCAACGGGGCCCACTTCATTGGGCTGCGTGCTTACGGATATGTGGGCCTATGGAGAAAGGTCTCAGGTGATGTGGAGGTAAGAGTCAGCCTCCCATTTTTAAAACACCAACAAATAAAAACCTCCACTACAAAGCCCAAATCTGCTGCCAAGTGCTTTGAAATGACCAACACTCAGCTGTGCTAACACCAGGGTGCTTGACTGGGAAGGAGGGCCGGTGTGTATGTAGGGGCTTCCTAGGGGCCTGACCTGGATCATGCTGTTGAGAAGCTTCACGTTGTCCCCATGGCTGGCTCCTGTCAGGTGCTGTGCCACCTTGTGGGTGACCTGCTGTGTGACACCCTGAAGGACACCACTGTCCAGGTGTAGGAACAGGAGGAGGTGTGACAGAAACCTGCCAAGAACATAGGACAACACACTTGACCTTCTAATCAGAAGTCAATGAAGTTTCCAGTGGCTAATTACTTACGAGGAAACAGAAAAATATTAAACTGGTCCCATTTGTAGACCAAAGCTCTTTTAGAGATTTCAACAATTCTTCAAGAATTTCAGAAAAATGAAGTTTTTGAATTTAAGGTGGGTTAAAAGGAATTCTATCTACCTGTAGAAGTATAGTGAACAGACAGATCCAAGACACACAAACACACACAAGTTAAAAAGCATTAGAGGAAAAACATCCCAAGCATCCCGTTTATCCCCTCCCCACTCCCTACTCTCACAAAAGCAGAGATGTTTAGAAAATCATCCCACAATCTGGTACTGCCTGTCAACTTCATACAAGGTGGTGTAAGGGGCGCGGGGGTGGAATCCCATCACAAATGGGGAGTGCCCTCAGTTCCCTGGGTGTACTGGCTCCCGCCTCTCTCCTGTCTCCTTTGCTTCTTCTGGGTCTTGTGCCTGAAACACTCCCCCACACCTAACCTGGCAAACTCCTATTCATTCCCAACATCTCATCTACAATGTCCTTTCCCCAGAAGACACTTCCTGACCCTTCCCTGCTATCTAAAATACACCTAACCCATGAAGCCTCCCCCAAACCCTCCCTCTGCACCCCCTTGTCCAACCACCCACTGCCTTCCATCCCCCCCACCAGGATGTGACAACCAAAATCATCTCTAGACATTACCAAATGTCCTCTGAGGCTCAAAATCACCCCCGGCTGAGAACTACCACTTTAGAATTACTTGACGTTATCAAGAGCCTTTTTCCCAATCACATGAGCCAATATATCCCCTTCTTGGTGAAACCAGTGTGCACTGGATTTTTATCATGTGTAATGGGGAATCTTGATTAATACTCCATTCTTAATTCCCTCCCTCCCCAAGCAGCTACTTCTTTTACTATAAATCCCATTTACTTTTACCCAGATGCAAATGCAACCTATGACACTACAGCATAGCCTTGCCAATAACACTTTGTAATTACCTCAAAAGTCTTGTTTCCTCAACAAGATTATGAGTATCTCATGTGATGAGCACCTTCCCATGTATCTTACCTGCTTGTAATAGTACAGACAATGAAAAGCAGTAGGTTTTACTGCTGTTACAACGGCAAAGCCATTTGCTGCTCAATGTCAGAAACACTATTCCCAGGTTTCATGGAAACAACTACTCTCTCAAACACTAACAAGCTATAAGCAATCTAAAATTAAATGAGAAGGGGAAATATCTTTCATGAAAATAAAACTGGAATCATTTTAGGAGTTACTGTTCATCAACCTGCATTCTAAACTAGGCAGGGAGTTTTTTGCCTCATAAAAAGTACACTATGGAATCACATCATTCCCTATTTTACTTGAAAACACAGTGGTTGGTCCTCCCTGGGCTATACCCTACTTACTGCTCGTTCTTCAGAAGGTAATACTGGCCAGGGTAGAACAAAGGCAGGATCTTATCCAGGACATGAACCACTGTTCTCAAATGCCTCGACTGGACCAGAATTCCTAACAGTGAGATGCCTTCGGCACAGAACTTCTCAATGCTACGGAAAGAGACAAAGGCAATGAGCATTCAAGAAAATGATGTTCTTCCAATGAGCCATCAGCCTACTTGCTACCCAGATGATCTCAGGTCCCCAACACATGGTGTGCACAGCCAAACTTCACACAGAAATACCAGCACCAGAACTCGGGAAGTACAAAGGAACTTAACAGTTCATCTGTATTTTCACTTTACAGATGAGAATGGTGAGGTATCATGCCCAAATTCACATAATTTCCTAGTGTAGGGCCAGAATGAGAACCCAGCTTTGCAAATTTCCAGTCCAGAACACTGGCCACTACCCCATTTTGCTTCCCAAATGGTGCTTCTTCTAAGAGCCATGGGGCTCTCATTGCGCATTTCCACAAGGTATTAGAGCAAAGAGAAGATTCAAAAGTGAGTTCACGCTGTTAGTATAAACTGGCAAAATTCTTCTGAAACCAATTTGCATAAAAATTGATTTATTCTTTGACTCACTTCAGAAAATCTATCTCTAAGAAATAATCTCAAATGTGGAGAAAAATATGACACATGATCCATGTAAAGATGTACTTTTCAAAATTATTTAAAATCACAAACTCAGAGGCAAAAATGATATATGTAAATTTTGGGAAAATCCATTCAATGAGAATATTATTGCATCATTTAAAAATAATGCATATGAGGGGCACCTGGGTGGCTCAGTCGGTTAAGTATCTGGTTCTTAGTTTCAGCTCAGGTCACAATCTCAGGGTCGTGAGATCAAGCCCCACATGGGACTCCATGCTCAGCATAGAGTCTCCCTAAGATTCTTTCCTTCACTCCCCCTTTGCTCCTGCCCCCCAAATAAAATAAATAAATAAAATCTTTAAAAAGAATGCATATGATGTGCAAGGGCAACATGGAAAAATTCTAC